TGTTGTTGTTGTTGTTATAAATATCATCATTACTATTTTCATCATCATTATCATTATTATCATTATTATTACTATTATTACTGTAATCATTATCATTATCATTATTATCATTATTATTACTATTATTGCTGTAATCATTATCATTACCATTATTATCATTAAGACTAGTAGTAGCAGTAATAGTAGTAGTAGTATCATTATCATTATTATTACTGTTTATATCATTATTATTGTTATCATTATCATTATTATTATTATTATTATCATAATTATTATCATTCTCATTATCATTAGTAGTAGTAGTAATATCAAAATTATTATTATCATTATCATTGTAATCACTATTTTCATCATAATTACCTATATTATTAATATCATTATTATCATCATAATTACCATCCTCATTATTATTATAAGTATTATTATTGTCATTATTATTATCAACATTATTACTATTATTGTTATTACTAATATTGGTATTAACATCATCTTATCTTCGTCATCATCACCATTACTGTTGTTTTTGATGGTTCTTCATTGTAATACAGGATGCGGTGGCCGGATTAGTCAGTATGGTGTCTCGTGATATTAAAAAAAAAAAAAAAAAGTGAATTTGTAATCTCTTCTCGTGATTTCTAAAACTGAATGAAAAAGAATAATCCAGCTTCGAGTTTGCTGGTTTGTTAGTCTGTTTGTTTGTTCGATTCGGAAACTCTAGATGTGAGTGGGATTCCTGGAAATTGTTTTAATTCATTTCGTGTGTTCAGAGTGAAACATGATATAGCCAGAGTGTTTCTATTTTCTCTTTCTTTCTTTCTTTTATTTGTGTTTTGTTTGAGTCTATGTACGTTTTGGGGGTCTTAAGTTTTTGTGCATGTGCGTTTTTGGGATCTTATGTTTGTGCGTTTTTCTGATCTTGATTTTGTATGTATGTGCGGGTTTTTTTCTTGTGTTTGTGGGTATGTGCGTTTTTTGGGTCTTGTGTTTGTGCGTTTTTTTTATCTTGTGTTCGTGTGTATGTGCGTTTTTTATCTTGTGTTTGTGTGTATGTGCGTTTTTCTGATCTTGTTTTTGTGTGTATCTGTGTTATTTGGATCTTGTGTTTGTGTGTATATGCGTTTTGGGGGCCTTTTTTTTGTATATGCGTTTTTTTATTGTGTGTGTGTGTATACGATGTGTGCATATGTCGGTGTCTTTTGTTTGTTTTATTTGTGTCTTAGTGTGTTAACGGCTTTTTTGTGTGCTCTGATTGTGTAGTGTGTCATGTGACTTATTTCTGTTTATTTATGTAAGTGTGTTTGTTTGTTTGTGTGCGTTGGTGTGTGCATTAAGCAATATCATTATTTATTCATTCTTCCCAGATGTCACTTCTCTGTTTAGAAAATGATTACGACAGAAAAGTTTTTTTTTTAATTGTTGATTTTATTTGTAATTCAAATGAATATTGCGATTGTGGTAAAAATAAATACAAAGGAGTAAAGAAGATTATAACAGGTCTCTGGAGACTCTTGAAGAAAACTCTGTGGGAACATTAGCATTCCATAAGACAAGATGTTGCTGAGTTTGAGTTTGCAGAAAAGTGAGAAAAAAATGGTCAGCGACAAAGGAAAAATCAGCATATACAAAGGGAAATAAATGGCAAATTAAAAGAGAGAGAGAGAGAGAGAGAGAGAGAGAGAGAGAGAGAGAGAGAGAGAGAGAGAGAGGCAGAGACAGGCAGACAGACAGAGAGAAACACGCAAACAGAGACAGAGACAGAGAGAGAGAGAGAGTGAGTGATTGAGTGAGAGAGAGAGAGAGAGAGAGAGAGAGAGAGAGAGAGAGAGAGAGAGAGAGAGAGAGAGAGAGAGAGACAGACAGACAGACAGACAGACATACAGACAGACAGACAGACAAAGACAGCGACAGACAGACAGACAGATAGACAAAGACAGAGACAGACAGGCAGAGAGTGAGAGTGAGTGAGTGAGAGAGAGAGAGAGGGGGGGGTGCAGAAACAGATAGACATACATATAGAGAAAGAGGAGGGGGGAGAGAGAGAAATACATTCAAGAGACGAAAGGAGCATTAGCATTCCATAAGACAAGATGTTACTGAGTTTGAGTTTGCAGAAAAGTGACAGAAAAATGGTCAGCGACAAACGAAAAATCAGAAATACAAAAGGAAATAAATGGCAAATTAAAAGAGAGAGAGAGAGAGACAGGCAGAGACAGGCAGACAGACAGAGAGAAACACGCAAACAGAGACAAAGAGAGAGAGAGTGAGTGAGGGTGAGAGAGAGAGAGAGAGAGAGAGAGAGAGAGAGAGAGAGAGAGAGAGAGACAGACAGACAGACAGACAGACAGACAGACAGACAGACAGACAAAGACAGAGACAGACAGGCAGAGAGAGAGAGTGAGTGAGCAGATAGACATACATATAGAGAAAGAGGAGGGGGGAGAGAGAGAAATACATTCAAGAGACGAAAGGAGCATTAGCATTCCATAAGACAAGATGTTAC